TAGTAATTTTTGACTAATATTTGAGTAATATTTGGAATTACATCACATTTTCCTCATTAAAACATATTTCCTACCAGTCTAAAAATGTGTAGTTTCCGCACAAGAGACTATAACATGGATAGCATTCTGTTCACTTGTGTCACCAAACTGGTCTTCACAGGCAGTGTGGGCCAGTGGATTTTATTCACAGCTTGTAGGAGTAATTTATACAGCTTTTAACAAGAGGTTAGCTATAGTGGGCCCGACATTAATATCTTGTTGGCATTGTGGGAAGCTGGATGCTGTGTTAAAAACAACCTTTGCTCTCAGGGTTTTCTGATATTTACAGTATATGCAAAAAGAAAGCCACTGCTTTATATTTGCAAGACCTTAGCAAGGCAGTAATAACAGGACCATTTGGACATTATCAATTCTTAGGGTTGCCATGAGGTAGAAAATGACTCGGTGGCACATAGCAACATATGACTTTTGGAAAACAGTTTCATAAATCCAGTAACCATAATCACTAAGTAGAATCTCCACATTCTGAGACATTAAGTCTTTGATATCAGAAACAAATAACTTGGGTGTGTAGTTATCATCACTTTGAGCTTTCCAGAAGTAACTGTAAGGCCAATGGTGAGGAAACAGAGGTAAACTAAATAGATCCTTGGTCTCATCCTGGCAGACAAGAGTGATTCCACATATAGTAGTGATTATGTATCTAGAGTACATGCTCTTGTATAGATCTGAAAGAGAAAAGGAGAGAGGCTGACTGCTTAGTCATAGGGCAGTTTTCTTTATATTTTAAAATGCTGCCCTTCAAAATGTCAGTGTAACCTTAAACCCAATCCTGCACAACTTGGTATTCACAACTACCCTAGCAGCCAATCATAATACAGCAATAAATGCACCTAAAATATATTAAGAGAACACATCTTGCTTCCCAAGCACAATGAATCATGGTGAGAACTCTTGTACTCGTAAGTGTGCACAAGACAATCCCGTACAGGGAGAAAAGTAGCATGCAAATAAAACAAGTACATAAAAAAATCAGTCAGGTAAAACTTGTTTCCAAAAATCTCAAGTAGCTATATTTATCATCTAGAAGCAACTTTCAAGAAAAAATATCCTGTGACTTAGCATACAGATCTTATTTTGGTTATCTAATGCAGTATACCAGTATATCTCAAGGCAACAGTCATGTTCCACTCTTCCAGCAGTTTCAAAATGGTTCAATTTATAAAGCACAGAGAGATGTAAAAGGTACAATGTATGAGTTGGATCTTCTTTAAAAAGGCTTCTCTGAATATAGGTATTGATAAAACAGCATTACAGCTTTTGCTCAGTGTCTGTGGTTGTGTAAATATTTACTTCTGCTTGTCAAGAAATGTTGAAAGATCAAAAGTAATCCCACAACCGAAATAATGAATTTTCCATAAGCAGGCAATACAAACAATGTGCTGCTGTTTGAAAGAAGCCAGATTCAACTAAAGTCAAAACAGATCACTAGATGACTATGTCATACATTAGATATCTTGGCCTGTTTCCAAAACTAGAAAATGTGTAGATTTAAGTCACACTGCATTCAGAAAACACCCTCCACTTAAAAAAAAAAAATCAGTGAAAAATGTTTTGTAAAATGTTCATGCAGAGGTGTCCTTTTGAAAATGTGAATATTATTGGCTTATACTAAGGAACAGGATTTTGGCCATCATAAATATAGCTTGTAATGATCCTGGTCAGGGAGTCCCTCTGGGCACAAAACTACCACCTTGATTTCCTGAAGTAGGTCCTTTAGGCCTCAGAAGTGCGTAGGAAACCCCATAGACAAGTCTGAACCTTAAAAGTAACCTTGATCGCTTCCAAAGCAATAAAACATAGATTATGTGTTTCCTTAGAATACACTCCAGCCTTATAAAGTAGGATAGTAGGACCTCTATTTACAGTAGCAACTATTAACTTTCTTCCATCCATACCGGATTTAGATAGTCCTGCTGTACCAAGGGACTAGTCCTCTGTTGAAGAATTATATTTGTTTTATTATGAAAATAAAGTCTAATTAGAATACAGTTGTAGCTTTAAAGCATAAGCATTGAGCATATCCACCCATTACAATGTTTAAATAAACTTAAAATTTCTAATTAAAATATAAACAGATAATCATCTTTAAGTCCCTACATGTTGGCATCTAGAAGCTGGGCTATTCCCCCCTCTCCTTCTTAAAGCCTCTCTGTCTCACATTTCACAGCATTCACGGACCTTTCCACATACACAGAACCTCTCATTTTACATCTCTTTAGGAATACCTTCTTCATTACACTTTCAAGCTGTCAACCAATTAAGTCCAAGTAGGCATAATTCAGAACACTCCGATCACTGCCCAAAATTCTCGTGATCCGAATTCCAGGTGTCTTATCTTCTCCCAGTTAGTGGTTTTTGTTGCATCTCTTCTCTCTGGACTGTCTGACCTTGTGACTTTGACAAACAACTCTGCACAAGAAGCTCATGAAAAACATCTTTTTCTGAATTGATTTTACACAGCTCCATGTTAGTATAACTATAGTTCCAAGTTTCCTTCCATTTCCTTACATAGCTAGTAAATGGTGACAGTTTCCTATATTTGCAGTGGTATATTCTTCTTCTTCTTCAAAAACACCAAGCACAGTCAAAATTATAAAAACATGGACTGATATTATATAGCACAGTGGTCCCCAACCTCTTCCCAACTGTGGACCAGTCGGGGGGGTATAGCGCTCCCACAGTGGGGGGAGCTCTCATGTGCATGTGCACATTGCACTTGCCCCCCCACTCATGCACATGTACACAAGCACACTCACAGGGTTGGAACTTGCTCGTGTGCATGCGCACAACAGCACTTGTGGGGGCTGCCATGCACGCATGTGCACAACACAAGCACAGGGGTAGAATGTACTTGTGTGCATGCGTGCGACAGCACTTGCAGGGGGTGGGTGGGAGATCTGTGTCCACGGCTCAGTCCTGGATAGGCCATGGACCGCTGCTGGGTCACAGACCAGGGGTGGGGACCTCTGATAACAGATAGAAGTTTTAACCGAAAACATAAGTATCTGTTAAATTTTGCCATGGTATGTATGCTGTACCTAATACTGCTGTTTTTCGTATCTCTGATGGTGTGTTTTCCGAGATTTGCAAATGCTTATAGTATTTTGTGAAATTTCTTCATATTGTTCCTAGAGCCCTGATGACCACTCAAGTGTGTTTCTTCCAGAGGCGAGATGTTTTGATTGCCAGCTCTCTGCACTTTATTAGTTTTTCAAATTCTTTATTTTCAACTCTGGCATCCCCTGGAATTACAATGTCAATGATCTGGACATTTCTTGATGATGATGATGATGATGATGTTGTTGTTGTTTTATAAAGATCTGTTACTTAGTCTTTCTGTTGCTTTCCTATGATCCTCGTTGCATGTAATTGCTGGCACAGATATCATGGTTTCTTTTAAATTTCAGTTCTCCATTATGTCCAACTCACAGAACTATGGTTTGTTTTAAAGAACAAGGGTGATGAGCCCAAGACTTGGTAAAGCTGAAAATGTCCAAACTAGTCCAATTTTTGTGGACTCCCTTGCTTTCCCCATGTATCAAACCAGAATAAAATTGAAAGGATGCTTTGTTGTTAATATAGGCCAACACACACTATTGCGTACTGACAAGAGGACTGTTTTTTCCCTTTCCACTTTTAACATGAAACCAAGAATTTAAAACCACAAAAGTTAGGGAAGGAATGCTTATTATCAACAATACCACCTTTAAATGCAACTGAACTATTTCTTTTATCTCAAAGATGCTAATTTGTCATCTGAAATTACATCAAGCTCAATATCTCGTTGTGCAGTCAATGCATAATAGGAATGATGTCATCACAGGCTATCACTAAGTGTCACTTTTTCATTTAGGGGGTAAGACAAACTTACACACACCCTGAAATTTTTTTAAAAAAGAGATTATTTTTATTTGCAACTATCAGCTGTCAATGACATCATTCCTTTGGGGCAGGTGGAGATCCACAACAGCTTGCTAACTATAAAATATTTCATTTGTGTCTGCAGTGCCCTATACCCTGTCTTAAAGTGCTCAAACTCAAACACAGTCCATCATCAGACCCACAAAGAATCATGTCTACAACCCTGAGCACACTGGGTAGAATCCTTTTTCCCTTTAAATATGACTCCCAACATCCACTTGTACAGTATAGTATCACAATGTGCTTTTTGAAGTTTCTCAAATTTTAAAATATTTTCAGTGTGGCATCTGTGTTCACTATTTAAGAAGCATACATCCAAAATACGTTCCAGTGAGCAGAATTAGTTGATTAGTTCATTATCCAATATGTTTTCAGTAAATCTGATGGAGCATGTTTTTATGGACAGAGGGTTATGATATTTTGGCCTTTTCAAATAATTTGAGTTAGTTGAATGTCCTTCTTTCATGTGCCCTAAAATTGTATATCACTGATACAGGAGTATGCTTGTTTCTCTATCCAGCAATCATTTAATGAGACAAAGTTCAGCATGTAATTTTAATTGGATACATTTTGGAGGAATTAACATGCTTCACAAGTCACTGTGTACCCAGTGGGTTCTCGCTTCCTATTTGAGAAACAAAGCAACAATGATAAAATAAATCTAAAGATCACTGTGAACCCCAGTACCTCATTTGTCTACACATCTTCCTCCCGATTCCATTGCTAGTCCCTTAAACTGCACCTTTATTTAGTACATGTTATCAGCTATTAGGTTGCTCTTGGTGAACAGATGCACACTTCTTCATTAAAGTAAGAAATGGCACACTTCAGAGTTGTTTTTAATTAGGTGCTTACTTGGCATATCAGAAATGGACTTGAATGAACCATATATGGGGTTTCCATTGGCTTCGTGCCATCTACTATTAGGTTTCAAATTTAACCACATATTTTTCTTAGACGTCTAGAGTTAAGCTAGAAGTTTTGGCTGAGATTCAGGCAGTGATGAAAAACACATGAGTAGTAACACATTTTCTTAACATCTTTCTCCAGTACTCAAGATAGACTAATCCACAGAAGCAGTTTATTCAAGTATCACCCAGAGTGCCAGGAGGAACAGGAACTTTAAAGTGCTTTTATTTACTGTTCGTTTTACAAGCTTGAATCTGAATTCTATACAGTAAGAAACTGGAAATAAATTTACCAGGTGGAATATTGGGATACTGTTTTGAAAGGACTTGACAAACGTGAAAGGTATGTTTTTTAAAAAAAATATCAACATATCAGAATTTGTATTTTACAATGTGCTTTTATTATTAAAACTCTAACCTGCTGACCAACCTTCTGAAGTAAATATTAGAAGAATATACACTGCAGTTAAAATGCTTTTATATTCGATAAGAAAAGAAACAGAAAATTGTATGTTTTGAACTCAGTATGAAATAGTTATTATGTAATAGAAACAGATTATGGTTCTGTTACAGTTTTTAGATTCTAGTTTATATATGATCGAAGCTCAGACATGTCTACTCAAGTAAGCCCTATGCTATACAACGGCACATACAACAAACTGTGGGCAAAGGACTGCAAATTCAATGGCTCTTATTTTAGTAACGATTCCAGGTATTCATAACCCAAACAGATTCAATTGCTACTATGAAGTAAAACAAGATTTAAAAACAAGAGGACAAAGAGTTCATTGTCTACCATAACATGAAAATATTGAGTTAGTATAAAGTACTTTATTTCTGATGTTTTAAATAGATGACTTTAGAAAATTCGCTGTGCAATGTTATAAAAGTAATAGTTCTGCAAGACTATTAAAACTTTGTGCTTTGGAAAGATATGTTATTTCTGCAAAAGAGGTGAATACAAAAAGGGCTTAAAGGTTTGGGAAGAAAGTATGAATGATATACTGTATGTTGAGCTACTTAATAAGTTCTTTGTTCAGTATTCTTATGGTTTTGGGTTACAAACAAACACGGATTTGGGCATCTACACAAGGAAACCACATTATCCAAGCTAATTCTTTAGGGGCCAAGTATGTACCTTGCTCCAGACTGGTAATTTTAAAAATCTGCCTTTAACAATCTGCAATACCCTATTGACAAAGCCCTCAGTCTTAGCTTCATTATCAAGACAAGCCCCACCTATTACAATATTCTGTATCATGTCCAGGGATTCCCTTCCATGAATGGAAGCTCTGTGTGGAAGAGCTTTTCATGTAGTAGAGGGCTCTACGAACAGAAGAGGCAGTAATTTTCAAGTTTCTCCTCCTCCCTGCAGTCTCCTGTGTCACCTTCCAATCTCTTTTAGGGGATCTGCAACTCTATGGAACAGATTGAGAGGGCTGAACAGGGAATTTGATGGAGAAACCATCCTTGGAATAAAATTAGTTGTCTGTTCACTAACCAAATATGTGGTGTTGTTATTGGTTATATCATACACTGCAAAGGATTGCTTTCACACTCTGTTTCACATTAATACAATATAATTGAAATACCCTTCATCATAGTGTTTATAAATGTAGACTGTTTAAACCTGGCTTGGTTAAAAGCTCCATAGTTACTCCAAATATATTAACTAATACAGTATTTTAAATATGCCAATAAGTAAGTAATAAACATTGTATTTTGTACTAAACAAAGTGTGATGAAACTACCTGTGCTCTAGCCCAGGTGATTCTTATTTTTAATTATATGTTCTGCTATGATAAAAGGTGCAGCACTCTGCCACATTTAGCCTTAAAAAGTGTAGTTTAAGGTATGAGCTTATCATGTGAAAATTATTTTGGCTGAAGTCCTACTCATTTACCTGAAAGCAGGTCCTTCTCAATGGACTTGGTTCGTAACAGACAAGCACAGAATAGTCCTATCAATCAATTTATCAGTTCTTTCATCTATTCGGGGTTTTTTTAAATGGGGAAGCACCTACACCTCAGTGGTCTGACTAGTTGTCTTTAACCTCATGCCATCAAGGTTATGGCACAAGGTCAAAAACAAGTGGTCCAAACAAGAGCATGTAAAGGATAAGCATTATTTGGCAAACATTAAACTAAAACAGATCCTTTCTGATGTCAGCAAAGCATGCTAGTACAGTAGTACAGAATCTCCTACTTATGCAAATGTTGCCAGGACACAAGCAGAGATTGCCATTGTGATTGTAGTTGGCTACAATCAAGTCCTACATAAGTGCCATAGAAACCAAACTTTTTGTGCTACATCTGAAGCATCAATTGGACACAGTCCTGGCCAAAAGACATATACGAGTTTTGCTTTATGTTTCAATAAGCTGGAAGCAGATGTTCCCCAACCTGATTTAACTCCCTGATGTCAATGTAAACAATTTCAGTCTAATATGGGAGCATGAACCAAAATTCTACTCTTGCATTAAATAATGAATTCCTATGTCAAGATCAAGCTTTCAGAGATTTTGATAAAGGTGTGACCACAACCAATTTGGAGAAATATATAATAGGAGTTCATTTACCACACAGCTGTATTTATTTATTTATTTATTTATTTATTTATTTATTTATTTTCCTGCCTATCTGGTCGGTTAAGACCACTCTTAAATGTATGTTGTTGCTACGTGCTGTCAAATTGCCTCAGACTTCTGGTTACCTTATGAATGAGTGATCTTCAAAATGTTCTGACAGGAACCAAAACTTGACCTCAAAGAGATTTAAGGCCAATAGGAATACACTATTACCTTATGGAGAACACAGGACAATAATACCAAGGGTTACAGAAGTTTATTTGAAAGCAAGCAAGGATTCCATCAGTAGGAGGTACAGATAGAAATCTGTAAAATGTGAAGGGGGCTCCATTCAGGGATGTTCTATGGTCTTCTTTTCTACAACATCCAAACATTGAAAATGGACTGTATACAGTGGACCCTCGACTTACAGACGGCTCGACTTACAGACTTTTCGAGTTACAGACTTCTCTGGCTGCAAAATTTAGATTCGACTTGCAGCCAGAGAATCGACTTCCAGACCAGAAAAAAAAAAACCAAAATGGAATAAAAATAGAATAAAAACCACTGGTTATGGGATTAATCAGTTTTCAGTGCATTGTAGGTCAATGGAGATTCGACTTACAGACTTTTCGACTTGTAGCCACCATTCCAATACGGATTAATTTCTTAAGTAGAGGGTCCACTGTAGAGGGAAAAGTATTTCGCCCTGCAGATATCCATGCATAACATGCAGATATTAGAGGAGGAGAATCTGTGTAACTTTGCTATGTGAAGACTCCATCATGCATATCACATTTCACAACAATGCTAAGGATATTTATTTAGCTGCTAACATTTTCATCTGTTCCACAGTGTAAAGAAGAAACCATAAAGGCCCAGATATTTGTTTTAAGCTCGAATAGAGGCTTTTTTGATCTGCTGCTGCCAAAGCATATAGAATCCCAGATACTAATTTAATAGCTCATTCACTAGAAGGGACAGAAAGGCAACTATGGATTAAATAAATGGTTGAGATCAAAGAACATGGAAGCATCTGACAAAGTAAACTCTGGTTATAAAATCATATGCCACAACACATTCCAATCTCAAAAGTGATTGTTATGGCAAGTAACTACAAATATGGAATCAGAGAGCAGATGTTTCCTTGAATTAGTTAATTCCAAATTATTTAAAATGAAATTATTCAAATGCATTACATACCCTAGAATGGCAACACTGAGGCAGTTCATGGAAAGCCACTAAGAGTTTCAGTAGAGCTTTCTCTTTTCAGCTTCCACTATACCAGCAAAAGCTCTGTACGTCTTTAGACAATTTCATATGCCTAGCACTATTACTATTAATTTTCCATAACTTGGTAAAATCTGGTCATTTGGTACCAAAAACTGGTATTTGGTGATGTCTGATACTGGCTTTCCGTCCTTCCTGTCACCTTATTACTTTTAAGAAGTTGTGCCTTTTAAAACTGATACATTTTCCTCTGAAATACATTGAAGCATTAGTTCCCATAGGAACTAATGCAAAGCTGGTTAATACGTACTCTACCACTAGGGGGAGATTTTTTTTTAACCTAAGATGACCTAAGGTTAAAAAAAGAGCAGGAAAGGTTTTTTTTCCTGTTCTTATCTTGGATTTCTGCTCTCAAGTAGAAGCAAAATTTAGCAAATGGAGCTGTTCTTAAGTTGGATTGTTCTTAAGTAGGGACGTTCTTAAGTAGAGACCCCACTGTAGCATTATTGATTTTCCTACTGTCACTTCTGTTATTTATTTGATTGCATTGTTTTGTTTAATGCTTTGAAATTGATATTAGTTCCCCTCACCACCAATAAAATAATAACGTGTATAAATGGATAAGATACCTGGCACGATCTACAGCAGTGGTTCCCAACCCTGGCCCCAAATGTTCTTGGACTACAACTCCCAGCAATCCTGACCAGCACAGCCAGTGGTAAAGGCTTCTGGAAGTTTTAATCGAAGAACATCTAGTGACCCAAGGTTGGGAACCAGTGTTCTATGGGGTATAATGACAGACAAGGCTCAGAAAGACTAAATTTGAATCTCTGCTCAGTCACAGAAGTTCACTGGGAGTGTGGAACTGGTAAAACCATTCTTTAAATACCTGACTCACCTTGAAACCCTATCTGGGTTGCTGTAAGTCAGCTTTAACTTGATAGGACCTAACAATGAATTGGATACCCAATAATTAATGGTCTGAATTAAACTAGTAGTCCAACACAGAAAAGAACTATTGAAACAATGTGATTTACTCAATTGTTGACTCATTATTCATTAGTTGATTCAACAAGTCTACTCTAGTTAGGACCAGAAATTGGATTTAGGCCATTATCATTATCATCCCCTACATTATTCTCAACTGAATCAAGTAAAGGTCCTCTGCTTAAGAAAAGAACTCAGAAATTATTTTTGCAACATAGTGTTGTTCCCAGTCTGTCAAAACAACATTCAGAGATGTGTACAGAGATATGTTTCACATTTTAAGTCAAGCAGCACCACTTTGATTTTAATACAAGAAGTTTGGAGACACTCCTTCTGAGGCTACAGTGGGAAACCTGTGGCCCTGCAGATGTTGTCCAGTGCTGCTACTACTAGCCAGCATAGTGAAGATTTATAAGAGTTACAGTGCACTGAAAATAGAAGGAATCAAAGGCAAATCCATCCCACCCCTATTCAAGCAGATTCCCAGTGGCAGGTGCATCCACTATTCAAATTGATGTTCCAATAAGGAGCATCAGTGTGCTGACCTCAGAAGTATCAGGATGTAATTAATGGCTTCTACTGTTTGATTGGCAAGATCTCCTAAAACAGTAGGAGAGTGCATATTTTCTGAAGATTTTTTTTAATCCTACAATTTTACTCACAACAATGTGCAGGCTCCTGTTCCTGGGAAGTAGGAATTGAACTTTAACCCTCTTCTGCATTACATTGTACAGTGGGGTCTCTACTTAAGAACTTAATCCGTATTGGAAGGTGGTTCTCAAGTTGAAAAGTTCTTATGTTGAATCTGCATTTCCCATAGGAATGCACTGAAAACCATTTAATCCGTATCTGCTCTTTTCCGTCCATAGAAACTACAAGTTGAAACGTTCTTAAGTTGAAGCAAAATTTCCCATAGGAATGGACTGAAAACCAATTAATCCGTTCTGGCTGTTTTTTTGTTATGTAGAGGTGCGTTCGTACATTGAAGCATTAGTTCCCATTGAAGGCAATCATGACTTCACCATAGTAGTCCTATTCAAAACCAAACCAAGAGACCAAACATTACTCATTTGGAATAGCTAAGTACCTGATCCTTGAATCCCCCCCCCTCTTGATTACTTACTGCTATTCTATGCTAGTCTGTAATTAAAGTTCTCTGGTCAAGTCTTAAAATACATTAAAAAGCAAAGTGTGCTAGTTATATACTGCCCCATAGTTCTTAAAGCACCTTCTGGCTGGCTTTCAACATAATTATGCAGGTTACACATTGCCTGCCCCCCAAATCTGGCTATTCAATTTACTGACTTCAGAAGGATAGAAGACTGAGTCAACCCAGACCCAGTCACCTGAGCCTGTCAGGATCAAACTCAGGTTGTGAGCAGAGTCTTGGCTCCAGTACTGTAATTTAACCATTGTGCTATGAGGCTCTCTTCACACTATTTCCATGGGCTCCTATGCTGACCAACCATCATTTAGCATTTAGAGCTTCACATCCCAAGTCCAAGTGGACATTTAAACAAAACAAACCTATCACACTGCAACTATTTATACTGACATTTAGGTAGAAGATAGAATTCCAGGTCATCATAAAGCGTGCATGCACCCGCACGCACGCACGCACACACACACAGTTCCAGGTCATCACAAAGCGTGCATGCACCCGCACGCACGCACACACACACAGACACACACACAAACTTTATGATGATCTGGAACTTTATGATGAAACAAATCAGATTCCCACAAATGAGTTAATATTGACAGTCTACATATTTGTACACAGTCACTTAATTTTAATGGTACTGGAATTACAAACTTGGTGAAGGTATTTTCCATTCTGCAGGTATTAAACTGCATTTTGTTCCAGGTCAGTGGACTCTGGAATTATGAGGGAATATATGCTTCTGTTCCTCCTGGCTTTGTGCTCTGCTAAACCTTTCAAAAGTCCATCACGGTTCAGTTTAAAAAATGTAATGCTCATGGATATGGACGATCTTGAAGATGATGATGATGATGACGACGACGACGACGACAATGATGATGATAATTCTCTTTTTCCAATACCTTTTGATTTATTTCCGGTATGCCCTTTTGGATGTCAGTGCTACTCAAGAGTTGTTCACTGTTCTGATTTGGGTAAGGTTAAGCAATTATATTTTATTTTCATCTAAATTTGGTTTTTTCCAGACATAATGTTCACATCATTATTACTACACTTACACAATACATGTGTGAAATTCCACTACAAGGACAAAATAAACCTTTCATTTCCTTGAATATTTTTGAGGCTTTGCATAGGAATATTGGTCTAGAACAATGCTGTGCAGCAAATTAACATGCATACAATGACGTTTCACAATTCTACGCTCCATCACCAGGTTTAGTTTTATATCACCAACTTTAAGTTCCCTGGACACCAAGCAAGCAAGCCACATCAAATGCGCAGTGAAACTTCTTGTTGGACCCAAGTTGTTACATACTTTCATTGGCCTTGAATGTTTCGTATTGGGCTCCCTCAGCACAGTATTATCCATTTCCTTTCAGCAATGGATGAATTAATAAAATGTTCAAATAAACCACTGGTTCTTAACCTTGGGTTACTCAGGAGTTTTGGACTGCAACTCCCAGAAGCCTTCACCACCAACTGTGCTGGCTGGGGTTTCTGGGAATTGCAGTTCAAAAACATCTGAGTAACAAAGGTTAAGAACAGCTGAAATAAACAATCTTAGGCCAAATCTTAACATAGCTAACAAACAACCTTCAGATAGACTGAGAACAACCTTCCATCAAGTGTTGTCAATTCCATCCCAACGAGCAAAGATTGTCCACAAAAGATTTTGTACAAGCTCACTGAAGTTGGGATGGGAATATGTCTGTTTCACTTTCTCCCACATTTAAATAATCAGACTCCCAAATCTGCAGATTTTGGGAAATCTTTGAAGATCCTGGAAACCAAATTCTCTCCTAAATTCAGTTACCTGAGGTATCTCAGCCTGGACAGGATCGTGTTGTAACTGCCTATCGCAAGGATGTTAAGGATGAGCGCACCTCAGAAAAAAAGAAGTGACAACTTTAATTCAGCATCAACATGGTTGACTATTCAGGGATTTGAATCCTGGGCCTGGACTGACACTCTGACTGTGCTCTAATTTCTCCCATGCTTTACTCTTTAAGATCTCAAATTATTTCTTTTCCAGACTGTGAAATTTTGTGTATTTCTTTACAAATGAACTGAACTGAAATTCTCTCCCAGTAGGATTGCCAAGTCTCAGGTTTCAGCCATGAAACTCAGGTTTAGAGGTTCATTTTCTGAATCTCAGGCTTTGGGGCTGCATATTCAGGAAGTGGGATGGTGTCAACCTGGTAACACAAATTCTAGGGTTGATTCTCATGGCTTCAGGACATGCCACTTAGACATAGTTAGAAGCATTCTTCTAGCATGTTCCAGAGCTGCTGCTACTGCTGAAAGTCTCCCATTAGCCTTCAAATTCATCATTAAGCTTCTATCTTGTGTGTCTGACAGACACATCATTTTGCTATTGCTGCTGTAAGGACCACCCTATAACATCTCAAAGATCCTCTAGCTTCTGCCACTAGGCTTTGGTGCTAGAAATGTCTGGAAATAACACAGCAACCCTGTTCCCGCCTTTATAAGAACTGCCCTCAGATACCTGCAGTGAACAATATTTATTTTCTTCCCCACCTACGAATTTGTCAATGTGCTAGAAATAGGTTATTCTATGCATCATACAAGCTTTGAAACAACAATACTGAAAATAAACAGTCTATGGAACCAATGCATTTGCAGAGCATCATACTCTGATTTCTTTAATCATTCAACAACAACCAACTAGTATAAGATTACATATGTAGATGGTATGGACAGGATAACCTCACAAAAAATTTTATGGCTTCCTGTGACTCTCAAAAAGCTACTCCTAGAAGTTGGGGGAAGCCTTTGAAAAAGTGTGAATTAAACCTGGCACATGCAATTCTAGGAGCCCTGGTATACATCTGAAACTCCCTAGGGATTCATAAAGGCATGTACAGACACCAACTTTTATGATAAGAACAATTAACTATTTTTGATTCATGAAGTGATCTTAGTCCTTTGGTTGCTTGCCTTTTTGAACTCAGATCAGTTCCACCTTCTGAGAACTGGATAATAGTTTTGTGCATATTTTAGAAGAAAACAAATATTTTGAAATCAAAAATCCAACATGGACAACGTTTTTACAGCTAGTTTATTTTTGGTAAATTAATACATTTGCTGAGATAACATTTTTGCTTATTGAGTGTCAGAAACAAACATTCATTACGTAAATATTTGGAGATGTAAGATGTAAGTGTACATTCATACTCAAATTTTATTTTTGATTCCCAATAAATAGGCTTGACTGCAATTCCTAAGAACATTCCATTTGATACTCGAATGATAGACCTTCAAAACAACAAAATAAAAGAGGTTAAGGAAAATGATCTCAAGGGACTTACATCATTATATGTAAGTTTGTTTTCTCACGTTCTTTATATTCCTTTCAGTTAAAATTGTGACAATAATTCATACTGTGTTTCCCTGAAAATAAGACAGGATCTTATACTAATTTTTGCTCCAAAAATGCATTAGGGCTTATTTTCAGTTGATGTTTTATTTTTTTCAACAATCTACATTTATTCAAATACAGTTATGTAATCTTCTTTCAACAATCTACATTTATACAAATACAGTTATTTAGATTATATAAAAAAATAAAACATCAACTGAAAATAAGCCCTAATGCATTTTTGGAGCAAAAATTAGTATAAGATCCTGTCTTATTTTCAGGGAAACAGGGTAGCTCAGGATGCTATAAACTAGACCTTGATAAATAGCATGAAAGGCATGACAAGAAGGTAAATAAAATATTAGGTACTATATACAACAATGTCATTGAATATACTTGTGCTAGTATTGCACATACTCAGACTTGGCTTAAGCTGGTATTCAATACAGTATTTGTTATGCAACTTCTTGTGCAACAATGCACATTTCAGAGGTGGCTGCACTATGAGTGTGGTCATCTAAGGTTCAGCAGTGATCATGGGATATTACCCAGTGTAATCCAGCACAGCTGCACCACTGCAGATTTACAAATAAAATAATCAATTATTATCTACTAAGCAAATATCTTGGTTTTGCATTATCTGCATAGGATTGTTTGTAGCTGATGCAGTGTAGCAGCTAGAGTGCTGGATTATGAAGGAGAAGCCTTCATATTTGCACTTAAACAAGAAGCTCACTGGGTGAACTGGTTTAGTCACTATCCATCACAACCTAGCAGGGTTGTTTTGAAGATGGTGGGGGAGGAACACATATGATCCTTAAAGCTTCTTGGAGGAAAGATAAAATAAAAAAAATAACAAACTAACAAATAAAATCTCTTATGTGCTATCAAGTCACCTCTGATTTAGGATGACCCTAGGAAGGAGTGATCCCCAAAGTGTCTTGTCCTCAGTTGCCCTCCTCAGCTCCTGTAGACTCAAGCCTGTGGCTTCCTTTAGGGAGTCAGTCAATCTTGTATTTGGTCTTCTTCTTTTCTTGCTGCCCTCTACTTTTCCGAGCATTACTGTCTTTTTCCAGAGGATCCTGCTTTCTCATGGTGTGCCCAAAGCAGGACAGCCCTAGATTCACATTTTTGCCTCTAGCGATAGTTCAGATTTGATTTAGGGCTCATTTGTTTGTCTTTCTGGCAGTCCAGAAACTGACTTATCTGTTATCTACAGCAGCCTGAGGCTGCTTATGTGACAAGGAATTGAATATCATCAAGCACAGACTGGATTATCTCAGCTGCCCCCTCTTCTGAACAGTGCAGTGAGAATTCAAACTTCTACCTCCTGCCTCCTATATGAGTTCTCTACTGTTATTACATCTGCAATCTTACATTTTACAAAAACCCTCTTTCTATGAAATAATTACCATTCTGATCCCAAATATGCTCACAGTTTCAATCAAAGGCAGTGTTTTCAAGGTAAAAGAGAGAGTTAAAGAGTGGTTTACCAGTCCCCGTCCCCCTTCCCTCACACACACTGTCAAGTTTCCAAGGATGAATAGGGATTCGGACCTAGGTGTACTGAGTCCATCACTCTATCTACTACAGAATACTAGCTGAAATCCTATTTGTAGCATAGGTCCAATTGCAACTCTCTGTTCATTCTTCCCTTGTAAACAACCACCACTGCACAATGCAAGTGCACACATGCTGCCCATAATCACAGCAATGCCAATTTGTTTGCTAGGGACAAGCAGACACTTGGACTTAGACTTTGAACAGGATTCCAGCCACTGGGAATTTTCCTTTGTATATATTTCTAAACTTGGTAAACTGCTAATGCCATTGAGAAAAAAAAAGGTTTACATTTCGGCTGCACAAGTCATTTATGAACAACTGAGTGTTGGTTCCTATTTGCCATTGTGACTACTTTCACTATTAAAAATCACATAAGTAGCATGTGATGCTAGAACTTTCTTGCACATGTAAATTTTTCTTCAACTTTAAACATGCAAAGAAGAGGGTATACTAAATCCAGTCACAAATCCCAACTAAAAAAGATCCATTGCAGAAATCTCGTAGGAAGGAAGCTACAACTAGAGAAGGCCACCAAATCAATGGAGCTTAAACAGGATTTAACTCCACAAATCCCCAATGATTCAATATATCTACTGTAATTGTGATTTACTACTGCATTTTAGTTACTGAATCAGTCAGAGTTTTGGAATGTTAAGAAGTCTCCTTCTTTCAATGTGGTCTCCTCTAGCTGGGGCTAACAAATGGATTCATCCCAAATAGTTACTCAGTCCTTAGAAATAAAATATTCTGCTTCTAAGTAAGAATCTTAGAAATTAAATGCTTTTTCTAATTTATTTTCTCCCATGTTTCCTAGGCACTTGCCTTGAACAACAACAAGATAACTAAGATCCACCCCAAAGCCTTTCGATCAGCAAAGAAGTTGCGACGCCTCTACTTGTCTCATAATCATTTAACTGAGATTCCTGAAAATCTGCCAACAAGTTTAGCTGAGATAAGAATCCATGATAACAAAGTTAAAAAAATACACAAAGCAGCATTTAAAGGAATGAAGTCTTTACACGTTCTAGGTAAGTATACTATTTGTGTCATGCTGCCATATACAAGAGAATAAAGGAAGTACACTACAATATTATTAAAGCCATGAACAATGTGAGGGAAATGACAGGTTAAATGAGCCTCATATGAAAAGAAAGGCTGGAATACTAATATTTGACTGGTAGGAAGCAGAGCCTTTTAGCAAGCTGTCTGCACCAGGGATGCAGATTACATTTCCAACCAAATGAAAAAAAAATGAAATAGGCTTTCTTTCATTTTCGTTGTCTTTTGTTGATCTGCAAAAAGAAGCCACCCAATGACAACTGTTTCATTCAAATAAACAAGGGTGTGAGCAGCCTCTTCCAAGACACCACAATGGGTTGCTCTAAACATGAATCTTTATTTAACCGACTAACTGAAAATAGGCTTGGCCAACAGGGCCTTGCCAAACTCTGCGTCAACCTGATGCCAATATCCCAACTTTCCCAACCTGTCTGTTCAGTTTTGACCTGTTGAGATGGACAGAAGAAGCCACTCTCCTTCACCAGCTTCCACACTCCATGCAGGTGGGCAAGACAAGGAGTATCACAAAAAGGGTGCTGCACAGAGACATTCACCTGCCCTTGGAGATAGGAGGCTTGAGTTCCGGCATAGATGGGGGTCCGAGGATGAATGCTCCTGATCTCATGGGTGTGAAAGGCCTCTTCTCAATTGTGAGGTGAACCAGAACCTGGTTTGTTGCTGAATGCACACAGTGTGGTGTAGCTGAGCACACTGCTCTAGATTGCTGGTCTCCAGACCATCCCACAGTCTCCTGCTGACTTCTGGTGCTGACTTTGACCTTTCTGGCATCAACATTTGGCTTGGCATTGATTCTCCATCCAATGAGCTTCCCGGTGCAGTCAGGTTGCCTCATCAGGTGGAACCAGGAGGTCCATGTATTCACCGTGGTGAAGGTCTGGTTGAGCACTACTTCCTCTGTTTGGCATTCCTCCCAGTCAACAGTGTCCACCCATAAGTCCTCCTCGTGCATTGTCAACCCCTCCCTATGTAGCACTCCTGACAGTGCCACAAAACTCATCCAAGGTGCTTCCTGCAGCTGTCATCTATTCCCCAGTCGACTGGTGAGCTGCATATTGTTAATGTCAAGGTATCCAAGGTGGGATGCCCAGGTGCTGGGGCACAAGCCAAGGTTCCCTTTAAGGCGTGTGCCTGCGACTCTGCCTCTATACACGCAATTTTCCTTCTCATTTGTGCACCTACAAAGATCATTTTCTCTCCTGTTGGTTCCAGTTGCAATGGAAACCCCATGGGGATGGAGTTGCACATGTGCAGGGCAAAGTCACATGCATGAAGGGCAGAACCCCGCCCAGCGGGACTGAAATTAGAGGGAACATTGGCACTGGTCCAAGAGGTTAGGCCCTTCTGGTCCGACAGAGGGATAATTTAAAATTTCATCTCATTCATTTCTCCTCTTTCATCTATCCTTTCTTTCACCCAGTGTCTGTCTGTGAAATTACCCAGAAGTGTTATCAAACAGCACTGTGAGTGCTGCTGTAAGCCACCTATCAGGAATAATTTCAGACTGGAGTCCAGGAAAGCTCTTACTTTCTCTGCTACTAGCATGTCTGCTTAGTCAAATCTTCTCTCACTACTGCCAGCCTGCCTTCCCACACCTTTGGAGAAAAGCCAGCAGTTCCCCTCTCACTGACACTTTGGCTTCTTGAGCAACTGCTGTACAGTATATCCAAATAAATACAGGCACACTGCTGAGCCAACAACACCAACTAGCTAGCCAGACTCCCTTGAAGGGAAACCCTGTAGAATTATTGGTAGAAATTCCTGTGGGATGTGGGAGCTTTCCTTTCCTTTCTCTGGTGGAGGAATGAGGAGGGAGCAAAAAGGAGGAGAAGGAGAGCTTCCTATAGATATCTGGTGAGCCAAGGGGGGCAAGAATGGTGGGGAGGTATAATGGTGCATTCAATAAATAGCTCTTTGGTCTGATCCAGCACAGATCTCCTTATGTTCTAATTCTTTTAATTTGGGGGTGTAAGCAAGATTACTGCCTCCTAATAATGGATCTGTCTTCTTTTAACTCAAGAACCCTATTAGTTTCTACCTGACAAACACAAAACAGAATAGGTCGTCTTCCTTGGCAATTGTTCACAGACACCTGCTGAGCTACTGCATGGAACTTTGCACATGTCTTTGGACATATTTTTCCTGGCATAAGGAAGGGAGGAAAGCTGTCTTAGAAATTGAATCCCTACCACCCACAGCAAGTGCTTTCTTTTGGCAGAAATGAGTGCAAATCCTCTTGATAATGAAGGAATCGAACCTGGGGCATTTGAAGGTGTGACAGCCTATCACATAAGAATTGCAGAAGCTAAATTAACCTCTATCCCCAAAGGTATAGTGTATTTTTATTTTTAAATCAACTGTATTTTAAATTTTGTCATGTGTATTGCTTCCCAGTATTGATGCATGGATGAATTAATTGTGATCTAATTGGCTAATAACCCAGTGTGCAAATTTAGTCACAAATTAAAATAAGAGATTCAATATGAAGTTTTACAAATGAACATCTAAAAAGATCTATGTTCAGCTGAAAAAAATAAACTGAAAATACTGGCAAATAGAACAATACATGTAATACATTTTCTGACTGATGTTTACAGAGGAGCAGTGGCAAATTATTTTGTATCCAATATTATACAATGGAGTGTGATGAGAAATAAAAGTAGTGACTTCTGACAATTTGCCTTCAGGGTTTACACCATTGCACTTTACACTGTCACATATAAGCAACAAGATTCTGGGCACTAAATCCAGAGTGGCACACTCACAGATAGGGGTGCACAGGACTCCAGCTGTATAAACTCACTCATTTCTATAGACCTAGGCATACTGAACTTCTATATTGGACTGGGGCCCTAATATGGAGCTTCATATTTAAATTGGTGTCACTGTTACAGTACGAAAATCTTTAAAAACATTCTGATAAACATACTGATAAATGATCCTCCAACTATTTAATCTGCCTGTCTGAGTAAATATTAAGTCTATGGCTGAAATCCTGTTCATAGTGTAAACCCAAGCGCAACTTACAGTGTTTCTACCTCATAAACAAACTGTTCCTGCAATTCTTGTGCAGGACACCCATGCACATGCCAAGCTAGTCTGTGTGTGTGCCCTGCATGGCATCAGTAGCTTGTTTAAATGGTAGGAAGAGATGGAAAGTTACCCTTAAGCTTGCATTACAAACAGGATTTCAGGCAAAATGTTTCGTGACAACAAATTTTGTAAATCTTGGTGTGGTCTAAATCCCCAGCTGTCTGGCACTGCAATTCTAGTATGACCACCCCTTCTTCTGCACTTTGCAGGCTTTAGCATAACTCTGGAGCATAACTCTAGAACCTAACTCTAGAAGGTTTCCTAGCCTTACAGAAAACGTTTTTTGGGAAACCCACAGAGTTGCAGGGAGTAGAGGAGATTCATCCCTTCCTGATTCTGCTGAAGTAAGCATTTCCATCAGCAGATAGACCGTCTTGGATCCTGGCATCTGTGAACATTTTTGTCTAATATACCAACTTATGATCAGCAAAGCATATTACCAACAACATTAAAAAATATAAGTAGAACAGGGAGAACCACTAAGGAGAAGAAACTGTTCTCTGCTGTTTTCATATTCCTGTTGCCAAAACGAATAGTACTGAAGAGTTAGTATTTTCCTAAGCCACAATGGAAACCAGAAATATGTTTGTGGTTATGGTACAGTATTTTAAAAACCCAGATAAATGAAAATAATAAACAGCAAACCTTGGGAATCTAGAAGTACTCAATGTTTTCCATCTCTTTAATTTTAAAGTATACCACATAAAAACATATTTTGGCTATTTGTTGAATGTAATGGCCAACAGTTCTGAAACACTAGGATCTGCTTAGACAGAACTTGGAAAACTATTCTACAGATCAGCATGAAAAGAGACCAGAATTGATACTAATGTATTACTTTCCATAACCTATGCTGTCAAAACATCCTTAACAACTGTAAAACTTAACTGCTACATCCTTTGGAAAAACCGTACATATGGTGACACTTATGTATTTTTATGAGATAAAAACGAACTTACCCATCCATTTCTGAGAAGCTGTTTACATTGTACACATTTGGTTTTGCAGATATTCCTCTTCAATGTTTAAAACCAGTAGGAGGTTTATAATGACATTATAGGGCTGAATGGACAAATGCAGTAACCTAGTACATGGTAGCTTTGTGTGAATCATTGTAGAATACAGAGGCTTATCTACTTAAAGCTGAAGAAAACTGGCCCTCAGGATGTGGAAGCAATTTGCTGTCATTTGTGGCATATCTAGTTCAACACTTGTGGGGGGGGGAGGGCACTTCCTTCCAGGTAACCGGGGTCCCTGTCACAACTGAATGGGGCATATCACTCCCCTGTTACAGCAGCTTCTCTGTTTATTAGTCCATTTCTGGGCCCAATTCAAAGTGCTAGTTATCACCTTTAAAGCCCTACATAGTTTGGGTCCAGGAAAGCTAAAGAACTGCATCTCCCTGTATGATCCATCTCGGCTCTTAAGATCTTCACCAGAGGCCCTTAGTCGTATTATGTTCACAGACACATCTGGTGGGAACATAAGTGAGATGGGGTTCTCTGAGATTGTAGAATCCCCCCCCCCCGGGTGGCTAGGTTGGCCCCTTCCCTCTTGCCCTTATGGCAATAGGTGAAGACTATATCTTTTGGATACACTCTTAACTACTAATTGTGCAGTTTTTAATCCATTAGGCAGTTTTTAATCTGGTGTACTGAATACAGTTATTATTTTATATGTGTTTTTAATGTGTATTGACATGTTTTAAACAGCTATAATTGTTTTAATATAGTGATGTGTTTAACTGTTGTTTATGCTCATAATTTATTCTACTTTTAGTTGGTTTGTTTTTTAATAATTGTGAGCCTCCTTGTGTTCCTTAACTGAGAGAAAGACATCATGCAAATAAAAATAAATTAATAAAACTAGTTGGCAATAAACTTATGTATGTGCATGGCAATGCTACTTCCACATTTCATCCACATTTAACAATTTATTAGTTCTTGGTGTTTGTGTGGAATGTCCTCTCACTCCATATTTCTTTTCTTTATAGGGTTGCCATCCAGCCTACTGGAACTTCACTTAGATGACAACAAAATCTCTAGAATTGAGCTTGAGGATTTCATTCGGTACAAAAATCTGCAAAGGTACAATTTAAATATGGGACAGCCTACATCCCACTCAGAATTAAATTTCTGCCACTATCCCTTCTGCCACTATTCCTTGATGCAATGAAGTCTGTTTCTATGATCTATCATGCCATGAATCTAATTGAGAGAGATGCTGATTTTCTGATGGATTAAAACAAGCACAAAGACGAAAACAGGCAAAGTGCAATGCACATACATATCTCAAATGACTGACAGAACCCCTTACTAGTTGATGACAAACATAATGAAACTAGTCTACTTCTTGTAAAGATTATTGATTGGCAACAGGGAGAAGCCAAGCAGATAAGAGCAATAACCTGACAATGAGTATTCTGCAGCACCAATAAGAGTAATATTTCATGAATGCCTTCAAAGAAAGTGCACAGGATGATAATGGTGAACGTCATAGACAGTAATATTACTGTCCTGGCTATGTTTGTACTACAGAAGATGAAGATTGGGGAGCTTTGGCCTGTCCTATAATTTGCAATGTATGACAACCTGTGAGATTGCCAACTCTCTTGGGTCTGGCGAAGTGAAAAGCATTTTTGAATGCTATGCCTTCAGTGTTGTTCTGTCACTATGGCACATTCCAAAGGAAGAGGTAAACTGACATGCTGGTGTAGCTGAATATATTTCAAAATGCCACTTGTGCAATTACATCTATGGCAAATTCACTGACAATAATAGCAAACAAACGCCAAATTAGAATAAGAGAACAGTGGCAACAATGCAAGGATGAGTCCTGTTGATTTGTCACTCTATTGGGTTGGAAATTTGTTGTATAAAATTTGTTGATACACTATTTCATGAATGTCAAATTGTCAGATTAGATAAACTGATGCCTGAATCCTCCATAAGAATCCTACAAAGTTGAGGAAGTGGACTTGTCCATGAAATCTCATGTAAAAATATAGCAGTCTTTAGGATGCCACAACGTTTTGTCGTCTTCTCTTTTTATTTTTGAAAAATATAGCAGTTAGTCTTTAGGATGCCACGACGTTTTGTCGTCTTCTCTTTTTATTTTTGTTTTGTTTTTGCTTGATATGCTAGCACAGACTAACTTGGTTACCTCTACTAAAACTACAAAACTTCATAGACCTCCAGGGGAAAAAAATCAGAAGCTTGTGTTAGTCACAGCTAGTGTTTATTCCAAAGAAAAGATTAATTCCAGAATGAAACAAAAATACATAAATATTATATAAATAATATATAAGTTAAAACATTTCTTAGCCTTTAAGCATATTATTTAAAATACACATAGAAAAATTGCTTTAAATGCTCACCTAGCCAAGCCAGTCATTATTCCTTTATATAGGAAAATCCATGATGTTTTCTATCCATGCGATGCCATGATTATTGCTGTCCAGTGTGTGGGAAAGCATGGAGCTACCTTGCAATTATGAGTTCGTGTCTGTGCGTCTTGTCTTCCTATATTTATAATTCTTTCTGCTGTCTACATCTCCAAACGTCCTGCCAATTTGTAAACAACCTTATCTCCAGGAGCCTGGAGATCCAGGGGACTTAAGGTTCAAGAAAAAAAATTCAATAAGAAATGGTATTGTTCCCAGTCTTTGTAATTTCAGAAATATGTAACCTGAAATCTGGCAGGTTACCACCGTTATTGTTTTGACTACATCTTGAAGAAACCAGAAAAATAAAACTCTGTAGCATAAACCCCTTGTGACACCAGGATCTTATAATACCAAGATTCTAGATTGCCAGAATATTGTCACCCTATAATGTTGAAAGACAAAACCACTATGAACTTTAAAAATTATCATCACCAAAAGAGTGCACTATAGGACTTACAAATGCTGGTTCATGTTTAGTCACTGTAACATGAACAAATTCATTATAACAAAAGCAGTTCAGCTGTCAGGAATTGTTTTTGTTCAGTGACTGTAGGTAAAAGTAAAGGTTCCCCTTGACATTTAGTCCAGTCGTGTCAGACTCTAGGGCATGGTGCTCATGCCCGTATCCAAGCCACAGAGGCAGTGTTTGTCCGCAGACAATTTCCGTGGTCACATGGCCAGCGCAACTAGTCTCAGAATGCCATTACCTTCCCACCGTGGTGGTACCTATTTATCTACTCGCATTTTACATGCTTTCAAACTGCTAGGTTATAAACATCTGAATGTGCAGCCTTAGCCATTCTGTACAGAACTTCATGAGAATCTCTATGTCTGTTGCACAATATATTACATTAATCTTCTTCCACTCATATTGAAAAATGGGCATTGCTAGTCAACATTTGCATTTCTTCTACAACTAAAATTATTTACAACGTTGTGAGAACCCTTGTAGCAATTTCCATGCATCTGTCACAAAAGGGTGCAGTCCTGATCCAAACTGGTATGTAACACCTCCAGTTATAACTACAGCAGATTTAAACTTAATCCGTAGGATGAGAAACAATGTTAGAAGAAAGTCTGCTGGTACAGTGGGGTCTTGACTTGAGAACTTAATCCGTATTGGAAGGCGGTTCTCAAGTCAAGAACTTCTCAGGTCAAATCTGCATTTCCCATAGGAAGGCATTGAAAACCATTTGATCCGTATCTGCTCTTTTCCGTCCATAGAAACTAATGGGAAGCTGCTATTCTGCCTTCGACCACTAGAGGGGGATATTTTGTTCCTTTTTTTTTTTTTTTAGGTCAAGAAAGGTTCAGGGAAGGCAGGGAAAATACAGTCCAGGCAGTACCAGGCAGTCCGAAGACTCCCAATCCACTCTCTAAACGCTGGGAGGAGTGAGGAAGCAGACAGGCACCCTTTTCACTGGCCAACAGTTAACTAAAAGTTCAAATTTTGCACTTTCCCTGCCTCCCACGTGGTTTTTTTTCAGTTCTTAACTCAAATCTAAGTATGTAAGTCAAGTCAATATTTTCCTATGAGAGTGGTTCCTAAGTCAAAATATTCTTAACTCGAGCTGTTCTTAAGCCAAGACCCCATTGTAGTAGTAAGGTAGCGAAAAAAAGGGTGGACATTCTGCAGTGGAATCGTCAGTATTTTTCTGTTGAGTCAAAAGGACTTAAAAGGGACCTTGGCGCTAATTCCTCAAGTCTGAGAAATGCTAAGAGGGCCACTTTACTGTAATGCAACTATAGGCTATTCATAGCATTTTCTTTGTATCAAACAGATTTCAAATTCTATCATAAAACAACTTATCGCAGCTATTCACATTTCTTTATGTACCTCTAGATTGGGACTGGGAAACAACAGAATCAAAGAGGTGGAAAATGGAAGCTTTGTGAATATACCAAATATACGAGAAATACATTTAGAAAAGAACAAATTGAAAAAAGTGCCTTCTGATATTCCAAGTCTGAAGTATCTGCAGGTAATATATATTTTTAAAATCATTTAACATTTTGCCGTCTCTTATGATCTTATTTCATAATGTATGATCTTTTTATTACCTCCATGTATAAGGCATGCCCACTTTTCTAACCCAAAATTAAGAAATCAATATTTTAGACATAAAACAGACACATAAAACATTTTTATTTAATAATCAGGTAACATTTACATACCAGTATTATCATATTATGCATCACATTTTAACTTTATTCAGCCTCTGGGCTCAGAACACTCGGACATTATGAGTTCCTGTTGCATCTGAGCACTGTTGTAATGGGTTTGTTCAGCATCAGCTGACATCAGTTACATAAGGCTCGTGACTGTAGAAAACTAAGTCTCCTGACTGTAGGAAGCTAAGCCTTGTGACTGGTGGCAGCTTTTTTTTTGCAGAGGCAAAGTATGGGCTGTTTTGATTCCTCCTCAGCTTACTTCCATGCATAAGATGACCCTCAACTTGTAGTCTAAAGATTTTAGACAAAAGTGTCATCTTATATATGGAAAAATACTGTACATATATGTTAAATCCAATGATAAGTTTTGACCAGAGTAGACCAATTGAATTGGATTTACTAAGTGTTGACTTACAGTTCAACAATTGATTCTATGGCCAAAATCTTATTGGAGTAAATTTGCATTGTGCAAGCCAGATGACATCATCATCATCCGCACTGGTATTATTTAAATTAGTTGAAAGCTTCCTATCCTCTTCCTCAAGGTTGTGAGGCTGCCTAGGGCTCCCTTCTGTGCAGGGGAAGCTTTTAATAGCCAAAAATTACTGCCAGAGTTTAAAATTAATTTAGATTAAATATGTCCAGCATCAGATGACAAAATAATATGACATGTGCAATATAAAGTTGCACAAGAAGATTTTGTCCAGTGTGTCTACTTTAGTTAGGACAAGCCTTGGTTTTAGACCAATAATTATTGTAATAAAGATATTTTCTAATACAGTACATACAATATTATGTATTAGAATATTGCTTTGCTTTGCTTTATTATGAAACTGATAATAAGCACATTTAACACCAGTTTTACAATGGATGTAGAATATATTACAAAAGACATAAGCAGAGAAGATAATATGAAAGTATGCCGTGATGACAAAAACTATAAAACAAATACATAAGACACAGCACTATTTTAATACTGTTTAATTGACCAAACGTGGCTTAGAGAAAACTACTGTGTAGGCGTGCAAAATCCCCCACCCTCACCCACAATCATTCCTCATAGACAGCTATGCTTTCAATCTCAAAAAGTTATCAGTGTACGTTTTCATCCATCTCCATTTATGTCTTCATTATCATTTGCAGTATACGCTCCAAATCCCATAAAATATTAGTTACCCTCTGTTTGACACTTGTGAAGCCTCATATTGAGTACTGTGTCTAGTTCTGGTTCGCTCTTTAAAAATGATGCCAACAAAATGGAACAAGTTAAGACGAGGGCAACAAGGATGGCAAACAGGGTGCTGGCAATCCAACCCTATGAGGAAAGATGGAAAGAACTGGACAGGTTTAGCTCTGAGAAAAGAAGACTGAGGGAAAATATGATAGTACTCTTCAAACACCTGAAAGACTGTTAGACAGAGGAGGGGCAGGATCTGTTCTCAATCATCAGAGTGCAGGAAACATAATAATGGGCTCAAGTTACAGGAAGTCAGATTTAGGCTGAATATCAGAAAACAACTTTCTAATTGTTACAGCTTTATAACAATGGAACCAATTACTCCAGGAGGTAGTGAGCACTCCAACACTGGAGGTATTCAAGAAAAAATTAGACAACCATTTGTCAGATGTACTTGGATTCCTGTATTCAGCAGGGAGTTGGATTTGATAACCTCATAGGCCCCTTCCAACTCTATTATTCTGTGATCATTACGGCTTTAGCAACCTATATTTATTCTAAGGCAGCTACACTGTATGTATGTTTTCAGTGTTTCTTATTATTCTCATTATACTCAAATGTATAGTGAGCACTTTTTATATGTTTGAATCTTCAAACATATACAAAAAAGATTCAAACATATATTCCAAGAAGAATCTATGTGAAAAGTACAGTATCAGTAAATCAAACCAACAGGAAACAGCATATTTTCCTTGCTTCCTGTGTAAATCTTGTTTTTGCCCAAATTCTAGATGTCTAAGATTGTATTTATATTTATTTAAGTACAAGGCCCAGTAATATTGCATGCTTTCGAACCGCTAGGTTGGCGGGAGCTGGGACAAGTGACGGGCACTCACTCCGTCACGTGGATTCGATCTTATGACTGCTTGGTCTTCTGACCCTGCAGCACAGGCTTCTGTGGTTTAGCCCACAGCGCCACCACGTCCCCCGTGGTAAATTGTATTCATATTTATTTAAGTACAAGGCCCAGTAATAACAGGGTTTACACTTCTTTCTAATATTCAAAAAATAGATCAACAGCTGCATCATTATTTAATATATCACACAGATTACTTATTTTCCTTTTGCCTTTCTACAGGTCATCTTCCTTCATTCTAACAGCATTTCAAAAGTGGGAGTGAATGATTTTTGCCCAACAGGAGGAAGGCTGAAGAAAACATTATACAGTGGAATTAGTCTATTCAATAATCCTGTAAAATACTGGGACATCCAACCAGCAACATTTCGCTGTATATTAAACAGAAGCAGTGTGCAAATAGGAAATTATGGAAAATAAGATCCAAAACCTAGTTCAAGCATAAATGCTGAAACCAGTATCTGAATACTTGAAATCTGTTGAAGATGCACAATTTATATTGTCCAACTGTTCAACAAAACACTTACAATTATTTCAGAGTCTGTTAATCCGTAATGTACTATAGCACACTATTCCTTTAATCTATACTTTCCAGTTTACAACTCCTGTAATTAAGCAAATGATTGAGATGAAAGGCTTTTTGATCACTAAACTGGAAATTATCATTGATTGTACCTTATCATTATTGTCCAAGCCATTTATGTTGACTTTTTTCTTAAAAGAAAATAATGTAAAGTTTCAGAACTTAGTTAAGCTAATTATCTATGTAAAGGTCTCCTGTATAAGTATTTATCAGACTTCAAGGGGGCGCTTGTGAGGTTTTAAGATAACAAAAGTAAATTAAACTGGCTGAATATAAATTTAAAAGGTACTGTACTATTAATTTGATGGAATATCATCAAGTCAGACTAGATAGTATTTAAATAATCATTGTAAACTGAAAGACACGATTGATACCATACACTTAATAGCCTCAAAACCTGTAGTATTTATTCATGTAGTTTCCCAGTAATATTGTACACTATTTTAGCATACAGGCTAAACATATAGGAAACGTATAGGGTGTTGTTGCTGTTGTTTTAGAAAATAATACATTCTCTGTAGGGCCAGTACAAATATATCATTTTGTTATATATTAAAGAAAAACCCTTTCCTCCAACAGATAAATCAAGGCACAGTGCAAATGTGACCACATGAGACTCTTTGTTGATAAGGCAAATGTCTATGTACCCACAGTGATTCTGAATATATGTAGCATTATCATGCTGATAAATGAAAAAATAAGCTGCTGCATGTCGATATGAAATATGGGCATGTGCAAATTGGAGCCACTAAATTTTGGCCGTAACATGTTGATCTAGTTTTTCAATTCCATATTACTGTTTGGGTACTGTAACTTTGTAGAATACAACCCGCATTTAATACAAAAAGTATTTCATCATAGTTGATGACAGTACTGTATGGAAGTGGCAATCTTAACTATGTATTTAGTGCACATGTGTTATTCAGGTTAACAGTAAGTTAAATGAATTTAAAAATTATAAATTGTATCTCATTAAAAATACTAGACTCAAAACTAGTATTGTCATGTCATTGGCTCTTCCATTTAAGTTAAACATTTATATCATAAATATGCATGCAGATTTTGATCCTACTGCTTCACTTGCAATAGTATCCCTCTAATAGAGTTCCATTCACTGGGTACTTCCACTGATGAAAAGGGGGGAGGGGATAATTTTTGCTGATTCTCCTTTCCATAAAGCAAGATGTTTTGGTTTCAAAATTCCACTCCATAATTTATTTAGAACAATATAAGGGTGGATGCAGAGAAGAAAAAAAAATTACTGAAAATTGTTACCCATTTTTGTTCCTCCTGAGAATATGGAACATATGGGAAGTTACTTTTGAATATGTTTCCAAAGGTCTATAAGCCTTCATTTTTGAGAATACTGAGAAACCTACTGGGAGAGTGAGAGGAGTCTCCCATTCCATACTCAGCTTGACAGAAATAATGGAAACAAAGAGAGAGGTATGTGATGTTGGTTCGTGGAGATTATAATCTTTCATAAAAGGCTGAAATCCTGTTGTGTAGTTATGCAAAATGTGTAACTTTTACTGATCAACTGTCATAAATTAAGAAATCTGTAACCATTATCTGTTACATGTTGAGTCATGCAACTCAGTATGCAACAGAGAATGCCTGTGGCATTCTTAACAATGCAACAATTATGCTGTCCATATATGGAGAATTGGAATATGGCAACACGAAGTAACTCCACTTTAAGAGCGGAAATATAGCCACTGCTTCAGAGTTTACAGACAATAATGGCTGTAGGTATAATATTCACTTGTGAAATAACTTTGAAAATATGTAATGTAGCTTCTCCGCACAGATGCTAACTTGCTGGGAAATGCAGTTTTGATTTATTCTTAAGAACATTTCCATGGTGCTCTCTACAAATTCACTTAGTCATTCTAATAGATTTAAAAACCAAGTTTCAGTAGTCAGCGTGGCTCAAGCAGATTGTTTAGTGTTTGAAACATGTAGCTATAGAGTCTGTCACAGCTCCTTCTTCAAAGTTCTAACGAGCAACCTCTGTTGCTACACGTTTTAATAAACAACTTCTGTTAGTACAATCGCCACAATCCCAATTTCAATTCAGTCCCTTCTAATAAAAACCAGTGTTTCCAAAATGTTTCTACAAGGATTATAGAATCTAATTATACATAATAATCCTATGTAAGTGGGCTTCAACAGCACCATCTATTCTAGTTACAGAATTTGGACACACTCTGTTGCCTATATCCCCTGGTTCTTCAGAATCCTTGCTGCTTCTTTTATGATTTGGTATAAAATAGTACTTAGTAATATACTCAGCTCAGGCTGAACCAAATTATTAAGCAACTTCACACATATATTTTGGGTAATTGCTACTAAAAATTATATTATGGAGTCTGATATAGGTATTTTAAAGACTTTACCATCTTTACATTATATTTTAAATGTGCAAACATTTAAATGTTTATTTATCACTTTTACACTATAATGGTTTAAATATACACAAAGGTGCTCTGTTGAGACCACTTAAAACTGAAATGTACTACACTTTAGCCAAGTTAAGTACTGAGACCATGACAAACCACATTCCTGGAGATATCTAAACCCAGTGTCTGTGTTTATTTTGGAAAAAAATAACTCTTGGAATTTTGAAAGATAATCTAAAGGGTCTTCCTCACGTTGGGCTATTTCCCAAACTTTTGGAAAATATTGGGAAACAGACACTGAAATATGTCCCCCATTTATATCTACCAGACTGCTCAAGAAGGTAACCAAAAATGCAAATAAAAGAAGACAAAACTATGAGTCACAAAATCCTTAATATATTAGGTATGGTTTCATATGAAAGCATGTCTCTTTGGCTATTTTAGTACAGTACAAGTGGTCAAAATCCTATTGGGTATGTACACCTCTTTAGCATGAAGTTCATAAGCAGATGCAAAATTTACACTAAGATGGAAGTTATATCCAGCAAGCAGTTTTCCACGTACAGCTTTCCATATACTAGTTGTGCAACCAATTTCTCAATCAATTATGCAATCAGGCATGCAAAACATCCTAACTGGGTGCAGCTCCCTGAAAACTTCTGTAGGTACTATATAAGGTATAACCTTAAGCTTTACCAAGTGCAATAGAATTTCAGCGATGGCGTGATTCCAGTTGGGCTTTAGGCTGTTTCATGCTACTTAATTTAAATTTATAAAATTATATGAGGGGAAAGGGGAGAAATCCCTTTCTCTTGTTCTGTTTGAAGGACCTAACAAAACAGGTAAGCTTCAGATTTAAGACAGAAAAAAGGAGGACTATTTTGAAAAAAAGTAAACTTTATTTCATGCAATTCACTGCCCCAAATTGTGGTGATTTAAAAGGAACTTCCAAGTTCAAAAGGCTGCATTAAATACTAATTGCTAGATGTGAGGAAGAGTACAATAGTGTTATTACTAGGGATGTACCTTTTGGATTTTTTTATATTACAAATCCCATATATTCTCCATTTTGGGATATATACCTGCCACAGCATTTTGTTCACTTTTGAGAAGAGGCCTGGTTAGCAGGGTTCATGGCCTAGGAGAGGCCTAACATCTTGTTTGAAAAGGAAGCTGCTTCAGTAGTTGTTGGGAGACTTCTACAAGTTTCCATTAATCACTGGGGACAGCTTCATTTTCCAACACGAAACTACATCTGAGTTTGGTCTATCCTGAGCCAGGAGGCCTATCAGCCCAGCCTTCCATCAGGTGAGCAGAATTTAGGTGTCCACCTGGTGGACTCCTAGAATGGAGAATTGGAGGTTTGAAGTCCAAACAAAGATGAATACACATGCGTAGCTACATACTTCATCCCTCTTTTTAGGCCTCCCAGAACATCTGTTTGGCTACTGTAGAAAAGATAATGCTGAACTAAATGCTGGGTGATCTAATAGCTCTCATTTCTCATTATTTAATTATATTTATATCCCATCTTTCTCTTGTAAAACTGATCAACATATACAAAGGGTTCACTGATAGTCTCCTATCCAGGTACTGACTAGACTCTGGCCTAAAAGATTTTAATTACAGTATTGTATGTCCTCAGGCTATACCTTGTACAGTTTCTTGTGCAGAGGGTGCCAACAGCTCTAATTCAGCCAGGTCAGTGGAGTCCAGATGCAGACTGTGAAATACATGCAATTCCAGATAGTACTTGCTCCAAGCATGGAAGTCTGGGTCTTTACTGTTGAATCTAAGTGAAAATGTTTTGATGACTGAAAGGCTCCTTTCAAGCTTTATTTTATTATCAATTGTAAATCTGCTCCTATATCTACTCAGGAAATCACCATTACATGGACAACTTAAGCTGAAACCTCATAGGTTTATGTATAGTATTGGCTTAGATTTCAATATGAAATACAGTTTCGTTCCATCAGTACTGTCCTAACTTCTATACTGTACAGGACAAAGAGGTATGTCTCTATAAAAAATAATTAATGAACATGGATTTGATATTACAAAGAGTAACATTAAGTAGCCAGTAGATATTCCACTGATATACAATTTACAATTTTTTAACATACAAATTTCAAGGGGAGATGAAAATACAATATTAGAATGCTTAATTCCATTATTTTGGTATGAAGAACAATGATTTGTCCCCCCCCCCCGTTCCACTCTGAGGTGCAAGCTATCTCAACAATGTTATTACTCTTATTTTACATACTTTTAAACACTAACTGATAGCTACTGACTTATCCTTCGCAATTTCTCCAGGATGATGAACAGGCAATGTTTACTTTTTAAAGCTACTATATATAGGGACGTTAAAAAAAGATTCAAGATGAACATGTTGGCAAACAGAAGTGCCTTGGAATATGGTTGAAACAATATTGGGATCACAGTCACGAAATTACAGACATGTCTTGGAGCTGTCTCTTTAGAATGAAGAATGTAATATATGACAAAAACATAAAATTGGCTTATAACACAGGCTAGTCTTTTAAAAAGCTTTTGATATGTGCATTTACTGCCAAGATTTTTCTGGATAGGGTGAATAGCCAACGAAGAAGTACTAAAGCAAATGAATATAGACCAAGAAATTATCTAATATTTCAACTGCAGAGCTGGAAGAGTCTCTATGGATCATCAAGTCCAGCCTCTATCAAGGAGGAACAGCAGGGAATCAAACCTACCTAAGCCACTGAGCTATCCATAAAACACATAAAATGCAGAAAAACAAAATACTTCTGCTTGCAATGACAAATGAAAAGTACAGATTGTTTCAGCTGACCAGTGAAAAGAAGATGAATGGGGAAAAAAGTGTAGAAAAGAGAAGAATTTATGAGCTGAAAACCCCCGAAAACTGGTTTGGAAGCAATGCATCATCATTCTTTACAGCAATGGTTCTCAAACTTGGTTCCCCAGATGTTTTTTGACTAAAAGAAGTCTTCACCACTAGTTGTGTTGTCCAAGATTTCTGGGAGTTGTCATTGAAGAACATTTGAGGACCCAAACTTGGGAACCAATGCTTTAGAGCAGGCTTGTCCAACCTGCGGCCCGAGGGCCGCATGCAGCCCAGGTCGGCTCATAATGCGGCCCAGTGCAATTTTTTATTTTAAAAGAAATTCCAAAGTTTCAAGTTACACTGCCGGCGCTTGCGGCCGGAATGCAGCTGAGGCATGTCACAACAGTAGAGGGCGGGAGGGAAGAAAGGAAGGAGTGGGAGGGGAGAGGACAGGGGGGCTGCGTGACTGCATTGCGCCGTCCCCATCAATAGGTGGACCCCTTCCCGGCCCCATAAAGCCACCGGAGTCGAAGCTGGCAGCCTCTGCTGTCTGAGATCCCAGCTGCCGGTAAGTGCGCTTGGAGCAGGGCTGTGGAGGACGGCTAGGGCTGCCCCCCCCCGTGGCCCAAACCAAATGTATGTGCGGCCCAAAACAAATTTTCATCTTCTAATGTGGCCCAGGGAAGGTGAAAGGTTGGACACCCCTGCTTTAGAGCTTCCAAAGCCAGAGTCAGCCATGACAACATCTAACT